TCCTCTCCTTACTACTGCACTCATCATCGTGTCCTAATTCTAATCCCACATGCTAATGAAAACCCCAGAATGCTGAAACATGTCCCCTCATATAAATTACACTCTCATATTACCTCCCTCACCCTTCTGCTTCTACTAACCTCTGGAGATATATCCCTAAACCCTGGGCCTCCCTTATTTAACTGTACCCAGTGCTCCCACCCCCCTGCACCCTCTGGCATCAGGCGCAATCCACACAATTTAGTTTCCATTCTTCTTCTTCCCAAAACCAACCTCTCCTTCTCCTGTGCCCTCTGGAATGCCCGCTCTGTCTTCCACAAACTCACCTCTGTCATGACCTCTTTTTCACTAACTCCTTTAATCTATTTGCTGTCACCAAATCCTGGCTTCATAATTCTGACACTGATTCTCCTGCTTCCCTCTCCAATGGTGGCCTTCTCTGGACTCACTCCCCCAGAGCCAGTAGATAGAGTGGGAATCCTTTCAGGTTATTCACTCTCCTCCCTCTCTGTCCATCTCATCATTTGAAGCTCACTGTATACATCTATTTTCTCCAATTTCTTTAAGAATTGCTATGATCTGCCGGCTCCCTGCACCAGTATCAAGTATCCTTGATGACTTCTCTGCCTGGCTACCATACTTTCTCTCTTCTGAAATTCCCACATTCAAGTCTTCCTTGGTCCCCACCACTCTTAAGAACCTACACCTCATATCCTTGCTACATTTTTCCTCCAAACTCCTGAAACACCTGGTCTACAACCAACTAAGCAACCACCTCATTAAGAATAACCTTCTTGGTCCCCTTCAGTCTGGATTTTGCTCTCAACACTTCACAGAAACTGCTCTAAAACTCACAAATGATTTACTACCAACTAAAACTAATGGACATTATTCTGTACTCCTATTGAAAAACCTTTACTCCTTTGGTCTCCATGACTGTTCTCTTCGTTGGTTCTCATGCTTCCTATCCCATCACACCTTCAGTGTCACCTACAGTTTTACTTCCTCTTCTCTTCCTTTCTCCATCAGGGTCCCCCAAGGTTGTGTTCTTGGACTTCTATTTTTGATCTACACTTTCTCCCTGGGTCAGCTGATAGCCTCCCATGGCTTTCAATATAATTTCTATGCTGATGACACACAAATCTATCTCTCTACACCTCAGCTCACAACAGTCTCCTCACACATCACTGATTTACTGACTGATATATCAGTCTGGATGTCACACCTGTGAGGAACGCAGTGCCAAACCCCTGCCCTTCTCACCAACTTGTGACAAAGAACCAGCCGATTTCACACCACGTTGTCACTTGCATAACATTGCAACCCTCAGTTACACCCTGCACAGAGATTTCCCAGCTCGGGAGACCACAATTTATGTGCCAGCAGCCTGAGAGTGACTGTCACTGGGTTAATTAATCACGTAATTAACTCTTTAAACGGCAACCACTGCCTTTTTACCGAGAAGGAGGAAACTCACAATCTTAGCAATAACACTATGATTTAGCGTAAACTTCTGCAACATACTGTCACCACAGCATATTCAGAGGATTATCATATATAGTAGCACTCTTCAAGATACAGAGATTCTTTAGTTTGCATTAAAAGCCTTAAAGAAAGTTTTAACACTTTTCATAATAGGGTTTATTAATGAAAAGGTCAAATGGTGCAATTAAAATATTTACAGAAAAGGATGATACAAAGACATAAATTGAACAATAATGCAACAGAGAAATAAAAGGAGGTGAAAATTGAAAATACTTGCAAAGTCTTGGTTTTAGCAGAGTCCAATTGTCCAAGCAAAATGTTGCCATGGCTCTCAAGTCCGTTAAAATGTTCCTTGGTTGATGTTAAACAAAAGCTTGCTTACCAGGTCCTGTCATTTCCTTTTTTGTGATATCAAAGGGGTGTCAGCCGAGAACAACTGACCAATCATCCAGTTTAAGGGATGGGTGCTGGGAGGTTACCATGTTTATGACCAAGTCCCAACTACAGTTTTACACTAATATTAATAACTTCCAATATGTGCAGGTGGTATTCTGGAAACTGATGAATATTATTCAGAATTATATATTGTATATCAAACACAGCATGCCTTTGTCCCCCAGGAGGGAGGCGATTGCTTTCTCTCCTTTTGTATGTGCTAGGGTAGTCATGTATGACCTTGATTTATTTGGTATGATATTCCCCATTAAAATATATACCTAATATTAATGTGCCATGTTCCTGTTGAATTCTATGAATTGTATGTGGAATTGGTAAGTTGTGGAATAGACATTTTATGGCATGCTCTGCAATCCTAGAGCTTTAATGGCCTTACATATCATGTGTAATGACTGAGTTATTATGGTTTTACAATAGGTCAGAGGGAAGAGTTTTTCATGGGTCGTGGAAACAGACATCCTGCCAAGACTAATTTGCTGTTTACAGCTCTGACCAGGTGTGGACGCTATTGTGTTTTAGTTAAGGTAAGAGGCTCTTTTGAAGTTCGTTCAAACTTACAGCTACAAATTCCAGTAGGAACACTGTTCATGAAAACAAAATGGCTGAGACCTTAACAAGATGGCTGTTGCGTACAGCTTCCATGTTCCTATTACGCACAATCATCACAACACCCCTCAAACTCAACCTGTCCAAAACCGAGCTCATAATATGTCCTCCCCTATGTGCCCCTTCCCCTGACTTCTCTGTCAAGATCAATGACTCAGCTATTAACCCATCCCCTCAGGTCAAGGTGCTGGATGTAATCCTTTTCTCTGCACTCTACTTTGAACCGCAAATCCAATCACTTTACAAAGCTTGCTGCCTCAACCTCCATAACATCGTCAAAATATGCACCTTTTACACAAATTACACCACAAAGCTCCTAATCCACTCCCTTACTATCTCTTGTCTCGACTACTGCAACTCCCTCCTCATTGGCTTACCTTTAGGCCTCATGCACACTGGACATTATAAAAACACAGTAGCGTTAGCTGTAAAATGCTGCAATAAAAATGTGTTTTTTTGTAATATTTAGCTTTTTTGCATTAGCTTTTTGAGCGTTTTTAAGTATTTTCAGAGTTTGCATTTTTTTAGCAAAGTTATACTCCCACGATATCTTCAGGCTCAAAAATGCCGGATAGCCGCATTTTTTAGCATTTTTCAGCATTAGAGCATTTTGAGCGCTCATGAGCTGGATGTTTTGATAATGGTGGTAACGTTAGCTGTATAAAGTCACATTAAAAACATGACTTTTCAGCTTTTTTTTAGCGTTTTAGCGGCGTTTTGCTGCGATTAATGGCATTTTCCAGCGTTTTTCCGCATTTGCGGCTTATATTGTTTTTTTACCAAAAAAAACATTTTGGGGGCAAAAAAAAAATCAAAAACACAGGTTTGTGGCATTTTGCTTAATTGTACCGCATTTTGCCATGTTTTCCAGCACTTTTCAGCGTTTTTACAGCTAAAAAACTCTTCTAGAAACCCACTAGTCCAGGGTTTTTTTTTTCCAGCCAAAAACCGTCCCAGCCAAAAAACGTTGCTTACAGTCTATGTGTGCATGGACACATAGGACAACATGCTGGGGGGTTTACTGGCTGTAGAAAAAAAACATCAAAAGCCAAAAAACAGCAGCTGTAAAAACGTTCAACGTGCATGAGGGCTTACAGCTAAAAAACTGCTCTTGAAACCCACTAGTTCTGGGGTTTGTTTCCAGCCAAACAAAATCTTCTCCCAAAAAATGCTGATTAAAGCTTATGTGTGCATGAACACATAGGATAACATGCTGGGCAGTTTACTGGCTGTAGAAAAAATGCCAGAAGCCAAAAACAGCAGCTGTAAAAAACGCCCAGTGTGCATGAGGACTTACATAGGCTATCCCCTCTTCAGTCCATCATGAATGCTCCTGCCGTACTCATCCACCTTACCACTCGTTCAGTGTCTGCTACCCCTATTTGCCATTCCCTCCATTGGCTGCCACTCACCCAACAAATTAAATTCAAAATACTAACACTATCTTGCAAAGCCATCCACAACTCTGCCCCCAGCTACATCACTAACCTGGTCTCAAAATACCAACCAAATAATTCTCTTCATTCCTCCCAAGACCTCCTGCTCTCTAGCTCTCTTGTCACCTCCTCCCATGCTCACCTCCAGGACTTCTCCTGAGCCTTTCTCATCTTATGGAATTCCCTATTTCAATTTGTCCGACTATCTTCTACTCTATCCACTTTTAAGCGAGCCCTGAAAACTTTTTTCTTAAGAGAAGCCTATCCTCCATATAACAACTCTTTCTTTTCTCCATGAGCTCCCTCTCATTAACATACAATGCAAAAAAATCAAGCTTCTAAACCTATAACCCTTTGCTAGGACAGGTAGAGGTAGTTTTTTAAAACTGGTTCACTCAGAATCTGGTGCAGATGTGCATGGTAGCTAATCAGATTTTAAGCTTAGCTTGTTCAATTAGGCTTTTGCATTAAAACCTGGACGTTGATTGGCTTCTATGCAGAAGTGAGCCTGATTTTGCACTCTTCAGCTTTAGTAAATAAACACCATAGTGTTCAAATCTAGTTACAACTGATTATGAAGCTAGTAGGATTTTATAGTGCTGAAGGATCCAGAATAGAGCATCTTAACCACTTGCCTACTGGCTACTTTTACCCCCTTCCTGCCCAGGCCACTTTTCAGCTTTCAGCACTGTCGTTGCGCGGTCATGCACCAGTTTTCCCCAATGACATTTTTATAATTTTTTTCACACATATAGAGCTTTCTTTTGGTTGTATTTAATCAACACTAGGTGTTATATTTTTTGATAAACAAATGCAAAAAGACCTAAAATTTTAAAAACAAACGTTTTTCTTAGTTTCTATTATAAAATTTGCAAACAGGTAATTTTTCTCCTTCACGATGAAGGTTGCACTGATAGGCAGCACTGATGGGCACTGATAGGCAGCACTGATTTGCACTGATGAGGTGGCACTGATAGGCTGTACTGATGAGCTGACACTGGTGGGCATTGATGAGGAGGCACTGATGAGACTGCACTGATGGGCACTGATAGGCGAGAATGATGGGCACTGATAGGCGGGAATGATGGGCACTGATAGGCGGCACTGATGGGCTGTAATAGGCAGCAATCCAAGGCACTGATAGGTGGTACTGACTGATGGCACTGATGGGCACAGATTGGCAGCATTGATGGGAAAAGACTGGCAGCACTGCTGGGCACAGATTGGCAACACTGTTGGACACTTATGGGCACTTTTATGGCTGCACTGATAATCGCTGTGACAGCGTGAGGAAAGTACTGCCGATAAATGGCAAGTGTATTTACATGGTGATCAGCTGTGATTGGACACAGCTGATTACGTGGTAAAAGGCTGCTGTGATTGGCCATTTTCCATGTCATGTGATCAGCTGTGTCCAAAGGTAGATACTGCTTCTTTTTATCTGATCCTGCATTTTGAACTTAAACACAATGTCACTGTCTACACCCAAGTACATTAGGCCAACCGAGCCTTCACCACTCTTGGGATTGAAGACCTTGCTCAGGGTTATTCTACTCCAGCAGCTAATATCAGTTCATTCCAAATACAAACATTGCAGAGTTCACTCACAACAGTGATCATCTTCAGAGGATACACTCAAGCACAACGGTGATTATTTTCTCATTTACTATAATGAAGCCCTCAGAGATGAATCAATTAGTAATAACCCTAGACCTCTCGGTTTTGGTAAAAATGTATGTAGTTTTAAAAAAGCAACAACATTATCTACCACACAATGACTAAATGCTAATATTATTGATTTGTTAACATCAATCATTAGTAATTCATGCCTACATTTTACAAATCCTTATATCATCTGTGCCATCAGCATTACAGTGTTTTGATGTTTCCGTTCACTTAGTTTTTGACCAAGAAAAAGTTGAATAAACAAGTTTACAACCTGATTATTCACTGTTTAATGGATAGTACAACTTAGCAGGTGAGAAACATTATTCAGATTAAAGTATAAGCCCTGGTTCGCTCCGGTGCAGCTTGTCATGGGATTTGACTGTTCCAAATTCCATGACAAGTCGCACCCTATTGCCGGTAACGGAACCGTTCAAATCGGTGCAACTCTGATGGAGATTTTGAAAGTAGTTTCTGCACTGTTCTCACTTATTTCAGTTGCGACTTGCAATGACAACTGTGTATGAAGTCACATGGATGTCAGGCAAGTCACACCTGAAGTTGCACAGCTCCATGGCTTTGAAATTGTGCTACTTCAAGTGAAGCACTATTTCAATGTCACATTCTGTGTGAACCCAGTGTAATCCAGAGAAATAACTTCTTTTTAGTTATTGATAGATTGGGTCAGAGCTAAAACAGCCTATTTTCTTCTCCGCTGAGTCCCAATTGGGGAGATATGCCCCCCCCCAAAAAAAAAAAACAAAAAACAAAAAAAAAAAAAAAAAATATATATATATATATATATATATATATCTTCAAGGAAAAACAAAATATTGCATATGAATATTTTCCATTCACCACATGGAACACTTCAACTGCAACTGCAACTCTAGGTTCCTGCAGAGTCCCCAGGAGACTCTCAATCTACAGGAGACCCCTGTGCAGGGGCAGACTGACAATTCATGGGGCCCCTGGGCAATAGGGGATCATGGGGCCCCTGAGTCCTTGCCTCAAAAAAGCCTATGAAAAAGGTACCAGGGGCATCTCATGGAGCTCCCTACTGACCCCAGGCCCTCGGGCAGTGCCTGAGTTTCCAAATGGTCAGTCCGCCCCTGCCCCTGTGTCTCACTGAAATAAAGGCTTTCCTACCATGGCTACTGGAGCCTGCAGTTGTTCACATTTTCTGTATGATTTATACCTCTACAAGTTCATTTAACCAGGGAAATATGAAATATTGCATATGAAAACGTGTTTAACACTTGCAGGAAACATTAATACTACAAATCCAAGTTTGGGCAGATTGGTTTGCTGCTATACTGTAAGTCAGAGCACACTCCTCTTCTCTATAGATCTACTTGTATGAATGATAGTTAGACAGAAGCAATCACTCATTAGGGCTCATGTACACAGGGCGTTTGAAAAACTTTTCTGACCTCTGGAAACTGACTGCTGGAAAATGTAGGTTAAACATGTGTTTAGCAGCATTCACCTACCACGTTTATGCGCGTTTAGATGCATTTGCATTTAGAAGTGTTTTTAAAAGATAACCTCAGGAGAGGTCAAATGCCCAGAATGCACTGAAAAATAGTAAATAATTAACTATTTCAGACATTTTGTGAGAAATAGAGAGAGCATTACTTTCTGATGTAGCAAAAGTGTAGCAAAAGTGGCTGGTGAACATGCTTGGCACTGTGGGAGCAGCTACGTAGTGCTGTAATGCCTGTAATGCCTCCGGATGCATTCTGCAGTGCACACCTCACCAATTGTGCTTTTTTTGCTGTGTTTTGATGTGTTCCAGTAGAGTTACAGTATGTGCAGAAATACTGCGGCACGTTCTACCATTTTTTCCTGCACGCGAAACCTGGAACTGACTGCGCTTGTGTACTAGGTCCATTTGAATACATGGAAAACACTTTGCATGCATTTTTGATGAAGAAAAAAGGCACTGTAAAGCATCTAGATATGGACCAGCCCAAAAACACGTCTACACACAAATGCGCATAAACGCGTTTCCACGTGTTTACAAGCACTTACACGCGGGTAAACGCGTTTCGCATGTGAACCGCTGGTAAACTCTACTCCTGAATGTGATTTTTGTGCTTTTAAAAACATGCCTGTAACCTTAACTGCCTGTAAACTGTAAATGACTATGTGTACATGGACACATGGGAAAACATAAAGGAGAGTTCAGGGGCTGCTGAAAAAAACACACACAACTGCTCCTAAACTTCAGTTTAGTAGCTGCAGTGTACATGAGCCCTTAAAGCTGCAGTGCTTGGGTTTCCTATTTGAAAGCCTAGCATGCTGTGCTCTATTGAGTATTTGCATTTACATCTACCAGGAAGAGCCAATGTCTCTAAGGGCCGGTCCACACTATAGAAACACAGTCCAGATGCGGTCCAGATGTGTTTTTGCTTGCATGTTTTATACGCATTCTGGTGCATTTTTAATGCGTTTTTGGCGCGTTTCAGTGCATTTTTTATGCATTCCATTTCATTTTTCCCCCTCTCTTTTTCTTTCATTTAAATAGGGACATGTGCATTCCAGTGCATTTTTGGTGTGTTTTAGTGCGTTCCGGTGCATTTTTGATGCATTTTACTGTGTTCTGGTACAGTTCTGGGCAGAAAAAATGCAGCATGTTAATCTTTTTTGTTTCTGCAACCAGGACACACTGGAACTACAAGCACTGATATGAACTGACATTGACAACCATATAACCTACTTCCTGTACGTTTTGGATGCCGAAAAAAAAGCAGCTAAAATGCATGTAGTGTGAACTGGCCCTAATAGAAACTTTAACACACTTGACCTGGATTCTTCCATGCAGCAACATCCAGGTGAACTTGCATGGATCATTAAAAGAGCATGGACGATTAATAGGAAAAACTATGTACCTGAATAGAGATATTTGAGCATCCCTTATACTAGCCTGTCAATACTGAGACATCCATAGCTCTAGAAGTCTTGGTTAAGGTTGAATTTTTACCAAGCTACTGGAGACATTGCTATGTAATGACATGGTATGCTAAGCAGGGACGGACTGACCATTTGGAAACTCGGGCAGTGCCCGAGAGCCCGGGGTCAGTAGGGGGCCCCATGAGATACCCCTGTCACCTTTTTCATAGGTTTTTTTGAGTTTTGGCAAGGACACAGGGGCCCCATTATCCCTTATTGCCCGGGCCCCATGAGTTGTCAGTCTGCCCCTGTTGCTAAGTTATTGTTTTAGGTTTGATGGTTGCCAAATGAGATATATTTCAGGGATATGTATATTTATTGTTTTCTATGAAGATTACTAGAAGATACGTTAGGATTATGTGTCAAACTTATTATTTGCTGCACAGTGTAGCACACTTATAAATGAGCCTACAATATAAAAAATGGCTAGGTAAAAAAAAGAACAGTGGAATTAGTATGTACTGCTTAGGAGGTAATGATGACACCACAGGAGAGCTCTCATTATCAGATATACCTTTCAAATCCATATCAAATGTGGAAACTGTTTTCACCTGATGCAGAGAGAATGAGAGAGAGAAATGCTAAATAATTGACAAGCTAGATTGTGCTAATGCATTCTGCAGGATCCACTGACCTTGCTGCTTGGTATGCTACTGACATATTGACTTCCTCTTATCTCAGGAACAAAGGAGGCATGCTGAGGAAGGAGTGGAGAGATAGCTATCACATGGAGGAGAAACAGGTACGGAGGTGAAAGAAGTAAGGGTTTTGCTTCAGCAGAGAACTTGCAGTAAGAAAGAAAAGACTGAGAAAAAGTAAAAAAAACAGAGAAAAAGTTCTGCAAAAGATGCGACAGGGGGTAGTATGGGAAAATACACTGCAAATGCAGCAGATGCCACAGTGAAACATTTTCATGGAAACACATTTTTCCAAATGTAGAGCTAATATCTATGCATATAAGAAAGTATAACAAGCCTATAAGAACAAATTTAGAAACATAAAAATATCATTCCCTTATTCTAGCAAAATATCGCTAGATGTCTGGCATATTTATGACAAATATGTGTGATATAGTATTTAAATAGGCCATACCACAGAATAATTCATGTAGTGATCATACATTCTTACATTTTTTAATATTGCAGTTTGATTGCAAGCTCTGTTTTCCACAAACTGAAATATTTTCCATTTACTCTAGAAGGTTCAGATATGTAAAGCTACTGTCATAAATGCATATCAGCTACATTACACACTTTACTCTTGGACAGCTTCCCTGCATGTGTTCTGTAAGTGAAGGAGAATTAACCCAGCAGTGCAGAGCTGGGCTTTCCATTAGGTAGGTGTAGGCACTGTGCCTACAGCCCAAGAAGACAAATAAAAGAGACATTTGAAGGTACAGAAAAACACAGAAAAAATAGTGAGACACAAACTAAGTATAACCTATTTACCATTTTTATTTTATTTTTTTTTGGCAGCCTCTTTTTTTTCTTTTTCTTTTTGCATCAGGAAAACATTTCTCTTTTTTTTATTTTTGCATCAGGCAAACATTTCTCTTTTTATCTTTTTCTTTTTATATTGTTTTTGTTTTATATAACTTTGTAACATGGGTATACACGTTATTAGATACAAATTAGTTATTTTTGTTAATACCTTAGGGTCACCATGAAATAAGACTCGAGACCTTGTAGCAAAATAACAAAGTATTTTTGTTTAGTAATTATAAGGTAAACAAGACATGACATATTGAAAATTTAGCAGAATGAGCAATACGCAGAGGAGTCACTTTAAACCCCACAGCAAACTCAAATCAGACCAGCATAAACACTGTAGCTCTCATCACTATATGAGAGAAGAAAGGAAACCAAATGGGTACCAACACAGCTAGGGCTAAGTTGCCAATGGACACTTGGAATACGAGAATTAAGCCTAGGCCTTTGTGAAAAAGTATTGTCAATTTATATTGTAAAGTGCTGAGGAAGCTGTTGGCGCTATATAAATCCTATATAATAATAATAATAATAATGTATTGAAAGCTGTGCTCAACCATTCAGTAACTATGTACAAGCCTTTAAATTTAGTCTTTTGCCCAGCTACGTTTTGGGGCTCTAGCAGATGTTGTCACGCTTAATGATTGTAGAGTATTTCTGCACTCAGTGTAACAGTCTTAATAAACTATAGGTTTCTTGGAATACTGAAGTTGGAGGGACCCACAAATTGGTTAACGTACTTTAATACTGTAATGTGTAGATGTATACTCTGGTCAACAGGCTAATGGTGCTAAATAGGCAAGCAAATGAAGAGTAACATTAGAGGTATAGAGCAATAAATCTTCCTAATGGGTATGCATAAAGCTAGCAAAAAAGTCACCAATGGGTCAATGAACTGCTCACCAGCTCCATCATATCTGAAGTAGCTGACTTTCTTCTGATGGGCCCCATGTGTGGCAGCAGTGGTGGCAAGCAGCCAACCTAGACTCTATGCTCTTGGTCTTTGGCAGTGTGGTAACAAGCCTCGGTGCAGATCTTGTCCATGGCAGCTAGCTACACTCTCTTTGTCTCAGTCCAGTGGTCTACAGCTGATCGACCAGCCTTCTGGAACTGGTGGATCCTGATTCCAAAGCAGTACAGAGTCACTGTCAGAGTATCTGGTCTCCTAAGTGCTCTCCTCCTCTCTACACACATTGGCGATGATATCCCAACTTTCGCAGGCTTTTCTATTCAGCTGACTCCATCCTGCCTCCAGGCACACTGGGTCCTGTAGTTTTTTTTTGCCTTTATTGATATTGCCATCTTTCCTGGCCCAAACTACATCTCCCAACATTCAATGCTTTAGCTTTAAGTGAATCAGAAGCTTCAAGCTCAAAGAATCTCCAATATTTAGTGAGAAAGGGAACTGTATTCAGGAAATGTTAAACAATAACAGTTACATTTATAAATTCTGCACATTTCTGTAACAGTGAATTCTGGTTACAATAGAAAAAAGGGGATTGTAGCACCACTTTTAAAAAAACCTATTGTAGGTCTAAAATTTTGGGATGTGTTTTAAAGCTTTAGAAGCTGTGGTTTTTGGGTATCGTGTATCCCTTCCCTTTTTCTATTTAATGCTTGAAAAAAAAATACTTAACTGATTGGCACTCATATTCCTGCATACACCACTGCAAGCCATGAATCCCACCTTGATACTGGATGTGCTT